CTCCGGGCGGGCGATTGTCCCGAGCCCCCCCAGCGGCACGCTCCTCCCCCTGCGGGGCCGAAGTAGCATGGCCGGAGAGGTTCATGCCAACTGGAGGGATGGGAGTGGGCTCCTCGGCCGAGGGAGGCGATTCCGAAGTAGCCGCAGCGCTACGTTGGCGCTCGGCTGAGAGACGGGCAATCGTCCGAAGAGGATCGGCGGCCACTCGGAGGGCAGCCGCTCTCTCGCTTGCCGCAGGCCCTGCTTCGGCATCGAGGCAGAGTTGGTGCAGGAGCGCGGCGGCATCCCGCGCCTTTGCAACGCTGACCTCGGCGATTGCGCTGACGGCCTCGTCAGGGGCGGAGCGCGCCGCTGCCAGGGCGCTCGAAGTGGCCTCGGCCTCTGCTCGGGCAGCAGCCACAGCGTCCAAAGCTGTGGGCGGCGCGGCGCTGCCGGCTGCAAGATGGGAATCATCATCGGTACCAGCCGTGGCCACAGCTCTCGGGGCTGCGGCGTCAGCGGCTGCGGCGGCGCCTCCAGCCGAGTAGCCTGCGGCAGTAGCGGCCCCTCTGACGCGTGCCCTCTTTGGGGCACGCCCCGACTCGGACGCGACGGCGCGCGCGCACCCCTGCGAGGTCGTAACGGCCCTGCTGGGCAAGCGCGCGCCAGCCACCTCCTCGTCAAGGGGCGCGGCCCTCGGAGGGGCTCCCGCGCTGGGCAGGTTACCCACCAGGCCTGGCAAGGTCGCCGCCCGGCTCGCCAAGGGATCGAGCGAGAGCGGCGCCAGGTCAGGGGGATTGGAGCCATCGCGAAACAGCGAGAGCGAGCGCGGGCGATCCCGCGGGAGGACGCGCCTGCCCTGCGAGAGAGGGGCATCGCCGTCGCGGGGTCGCGACCGCTCCCGCGGGACGCGAGTAGACCGCGAGCGGGAGGCACCGGGCGCCGAGGCAGGGCGGGCAGCCACGGTTCTGGCCGAGGGGCTCCGGCCCTGGCTCCTCAGCCCAGGGAGCGCCGCACTCTGAACCCAGTCCACTCCCTCGTCAGCGACGGGACCCTGGAAGCGAGGCTCCCCAGGACGGCCAACAGGAGGGGCCCTGGGCGCCCCTGTGGCGGGAGCGGGACTGTGCCCGCGGGAGGGTTCCCTTCGGCCCTCGGCCGCGCGATGGGAAGCGGTGCGGGACCGATCGGCCCTCGTTCCCGCCTGGCGAGACGGGCTCGCACTAACGGTCGCGGCTACGGACTCGGCGTGCGCGGCACTGCTCGGGGCGGCAGCCCCCGAGCCAGCCGACTTGGGACTCGCGCGGCGGAGCGGGACGCCTTGGCAGGTCACATCCCCCGCGGCACCGCCCGAGGCCTTGGAAGCTCCCGCCTCGGATGCGATAATCCGTGCCGGGCGCGCGGTGAACTGCGCAAGAGCGCGGCTTGGCTCGGGGGCCGGAGGCGGCGCGTCCCGCGAGTCCGACGCCGTCGAGGGCGCGTCCGAAGGCGGCCTCTCGGGCGACGAGGGCTTTTCGTCAGAACCGGGGCTCCACGGGCGAAGGTGAACAGCTTCGGGGAGGGCAGCGGCGGCGGCTCCCGGAGCAAGCCTGCGCTGGTGGGGCGCACGGCTCGCGGCGCCTGAGGCGGATGCCGCGCCGCGGGGGTGCAACGGGCGGCTCGCGACGGAGGCGGGCCAGGAAAAGGCACCATCAGGCCGTCCTCCCACCGCGGCCACGCCCTGCGGCGACCGCGCCGCGCAACTCGCGGCGCCGCATCCCTCGTTCCCCGCAACGTTCAGGAGGATGGACTTAGCGTCGCAAAACCTCCGCCACGCCGCGGGATCCCCACTCAGATTGTCAGGGGGGCGCCGACCTGCGAGGCGCCTGAACTGACGCTCGATGGCCGCGCGATCGGCGCCGGCGCGAACCTGGAGGACCTCCTGGGCGGCAAGCAACCGAGGGGCGCGGGCGGGGCGCCTCACAACCCGGGCGACGGCTTTGCTGACCGCCTCAAGGGCATGGGCGGCCCGGGGGGCCGCTAGCATCGACGGCCCTGGGGCGGAGGGGCTGCTGCGGCGGGCGCAATCGGCCCTCCGGGGCTCGGCGGCGCTACTCCCGCAAGCTGGTTGCCTCGGGGCGTCGGGCGGGGCGGGCGCAGGAAGGGCCTCAGATTCGGCCGAAACTCCTGCGGCAACGCTAGGCACGCCCTCGTCCCGGTAGTCCCGCGCGGCGCGTGGCTCACGTGGGCCAGACGCCGCGGCGGGCGCATCTGCGTCGCTGGCGCCGCGAGAAACCGCAGCGAGTTGCCCTGCTGCGCCGACGTTGGCGGGGGCCATCCACGGCCCAGCCAACACAAGCGAGACGATGCGGCCCCACATGCACGTGGGGTAGGCCGACGCAGCGTCGGCGGCGGCAATGATATCGAACCGATCGTGAGAACCTGCCGAAAGCTCCTGGAGCCAGGCGGGCTCCTCCCACGACTCGGGGGGCCTCACCGAGCGACCTCGGGTCGGGTCGTCGGCGCGGTGTACATCGGTGGGGACGTACATGCCTCCCATGTACAAACCCCCATCCGAGGATGTAGGGTAACGCCGTGCTCAAGACATGAGAAAGGCCCGGGGAACTGCTCCTGCCGTGAGCAGCCGCTCCGAGGGCGACTTTGGAGTCGAGGAGGACGGCGATCCTACTATCAGGGGCACGGATACAACAATACTTACAGAGGCTTCTGAACAAAGCCGTCTCTAAGATGTTGATGTGCCTGGGAATACGGAAGTTACACTTTTAGGCGAGTCGAAAACGCAACGCCTCGGACAGTTCGGTAATCCAGCGCGGCGCAGCAGGGGGCACGAGCGAAGGGAGACCAAGCTGGCGACGCCACGAGTCGACGTCATCACCCCCACGTACCTCCTCCCCGGGGCGGCTCAGAACGGCAAGCAACCGATCGTCGTGAGGCCGCGTGTGCCAGCCGCCGCGCTCTGACCTGCGCCAGAGCTCCTCGGCCAGCGGAACAGCAATCTCGCTGCGGACCACCCCTCCCCAGCACAGGGAGGCGTCCGTACCGAACACTTCGGGGCGAGGAGAAGCCCGAAGGTCGGTCATAGCCACGAAGGCCAGATAGGTGCATGCTTGAAGCTCGCCCCGCACGCACACGGGCAACGCGTACTCGCCATCAGCATCGAGCGCGGAGATGAAAGTATAGATACGCGTAAAGAGCGACAGCATCGGGCGCCTATACAAAAACACCTGTACCCAGCAGCCGACGAGGGAGCTGAGCAAGGTGCGCGTGGTGCGCCCCAAAAACACCTGGATGAATGCGAGCCGGCACAGGGCGACCGTGCGCACCAGCGGGGCGCAGACGATGCCGATCCGATGCGCCCTTCAACCTCGGCGCCCACGACAACGGTATGAGTCACGCTCCTGGCCCGCTTGCCAGGATGCTGAACGAGACACACCCGCGGGTAGCCAGCGTCACACGCCGAGAAAACCGCCTGGTCGCGGCGGCCAGGGTCGTCAGGGCGCGGAGCGGACCCCCGCCAAGAGAGTTTCTGAAACCCCGTGTGATCGTCGATATTCAACATCTCGACGAAGGGGCCACGAGGGAATGGTTGTCGGTGGATGGCTTGCTCGTGGGGTTGCAGGGCACCCAGCGAGCGTAGCACCCCCTCGTCGGCAGCGTTCGCAATCTCGACTGCCATGTTATCGCCCATGGCAAGGGCGTTCAGGCAGGGGCTGCCGTCGACGCCGGCGAGATCATCCCGCCGAGCTCTGAAGTCCGTGAAACGGCTGTTCGGTAGCCGAACGCGGAGAGCGTTGCGCCTGGCCCGCGCAGGGGGCACCTGGAACGTGTAGTAAAACTCACGGAGGTCATCGCAGGAGACAACCAGCCACTCACCAGCGGCGAGCCCCAGGCGGCAGAGGAGAAACCCCTGCCCTAAGCGCTGCGTGCTCGAGGACACGCTCCGACAGCGGCTGTTTACCACTGTGGGATTGAGAATCAAGCGGTCATGCTGTTCGTCCTTAGGCACTCTAAACGCCCCGCATGCCTCGTCCCAGCGAAGGTCGTCTGTGGGCGTCAGGTAGAGCGCACCGCACGAGTCCCATGTCTTGAGAAGGTCCCAAAGCTCGGACCTATCCATGTGCACCCGAGCGCTGCTAAACCCGTCAGGCCATTCCTCGGGGGGGGCGGCGCATGACTTCTGGGTCGTGGAAGGCGGCGTGCACCAAGGGTTCATCAAGATAGGGACTCGGGTCGAAGGACGGAGAATAATCCCGCTTGACGCGGCTGGCTCGGATCCTCAAGTCGAAAGGTTCGGCCTGAGAGGCGTCCCAGCCTGCAGCCGCTGCCAGCGAATCCACCAGAGGGGTGGCGCTGACGGGGAGTTGCCGCATGGGGGCGGGCACTTGGGAGGAGGAAGTAAAGGAAGCCTCCAAAGCTGCGACGTGGGTAGCCAGACCACGGAGCGAGACTTCGGTGGAGTCAAACTTGGCAAAAGCTCTGCCAAGGTCGCTCTTGCCACCGCGGGCAAGGCGAACTGCGATCCTACAAAGGCGCTCAAGACGCGAGCGCGCCCCCTCCTGGCACGGGGAGACCGTAGCACGCACTTGAGCTTCGGCGGGAGCGAAGCTAGGGTGGCCTAGCGTAAGCCAGTTGAGCGCAACAACCGCATGCTGGGCCAAAGTGCGAGCAGCGCGCCGCAGCCGCCAACGTTCCCGCGCGCGGCCCGTCAAGGGAGCGGGAGGCGGCGGCAAGGATGGGGCGGGCGGGCACGGCCATGGATCGCGGGGAGCGCGCTCCGTAGAGACGTCCCGTTCCGACGCGTAGAGTGATGAGCGGGTGAAGGAAGCAAGAGCACAACGAGAACCCATCCCAGCCTGGGGCAACGCAGCGGCCCAGTGGGTTATGTCGATGTGCGCGCCTGGGAACAGGCGCAGCAAGGCAGAAAGATCCAGCACGAGAGGTGCAGGACCTGGATCAGGGTCGGCACGAGCCGCACTGGGGAAAACGGGGCCAAAATGGCCAGGTGAAGTGGCGGGGGCCTCGGG